TCAATAGGCCCAACGTTTCAAGAGCCATCTTTTTATACTGCCCCACAACATCAATCAAACTAATTCCATTAAAATCATTTTGCATCATACGTGATAAATTCACATCTTTAATTCATATCTTTGCGTATCAGAAGACGTTTCATTAATTGTGATGTTAATTATCGATTCATTATTTGTCGACTATCAAATGATTAGATACTTGTAAAGAATGCAAAAAAATTGATGAACTGCGACTGTTGATCAAAAACATAAGCTCAAACGGGTGGATCAAGTTGTATCTTAATCAAACAGATGCAGTAAAGTTATGTAAAAGAAGAGTCATGCAAAAAATATTTAGTACAATTAATTGCCGTACAGGAGACAACACCGACCGAGATTCGTGGTATGACATCGTTCTTATCCGAGACAACTTATGTGGGCATTAGTATGATGGGAATGAGCTTTGGAATGAACTTGGTACTTGGACAACACTTACCATTCTTAATTGGTATTCATCACATTGTTCATTTCACGCTTACTGATCACTTATTTGACTGACCGAATTAATTCTTACTGATCATGTCGGCTAATCTCTCACAAACGTGAAATTATTGTGAAAGTCATCGATAAGGGTGATTTCGATGGATCAATGCGAGAATATCGCTTTGAACTGATGAAGTTGCAGGTATACATACGATTGCTGCAACTATAGTTGTGATATTGGTGTGTTGCTTGGAGGAAACGCCGAAATATTTGCTGATCAAAAGGAACGACCGTGAAGCTGCACTAAAATCACTCGAATTCTACAGGGGTCCGCTCATTTCAGATACATCCTCTCGATGAGCAAACATCGATTATTGACTGATTGACTGAATTAATTCAATCGCTATGATAACTTTTTCCGGCAGTGTTTTCTAACCTTTTTCATTTGGATATCAAACAGCAATTTAAAGAACTCCGTAGTACATCCAATGAGGAATTTCACTTGATTTTGCACTCCACTTCAGCTTGGACATTGACGTTTTGAAGCCGTCTATCTTCTCTGTTGTGAGCTATTATTTTGATAATTTCATATTTGCGGACGTCGAATCCCAATGAACAGTTGCTAGCTACTGGCTGAGAACTCATTGTGGTGGAGTTTATGAGTTTACAGGAGCAACCGATGAGAATCAAAAAGTGATGGATAGCATTGAGAAGGAGGCAAAAGAAGGCTTTGCAGCACCATTCCCGGCTTCAATTTCGATCATTCTCAGAACGCGTCATCTGAGGCAAGCCTTTTTGGTTGGGTTTTGTTGTATGCAAGTGAGTGAATTTCTTACTTATAGGGAGTAACTAATCACAGCGATCCTTTTATAGTTTACTACTGACTTTTCACATTTTCGATACTTTGCATCCAAAATTTCTTCACGAAACAAGCAGAACTCGTTCGTTGCTGAAACGTTGATGTGCAATGAATTCGCTTAGCAATTTTAATTCCGACAAATACATCTATCGTTATTTTTCAGGTATCACCGTAGTTCATGAAGTAGTGATGTTTCTATTGCACACTTTTGGCAAACTGTTCTATTC